AAAAAAAAAAAAAAAAAAAAAAAAAAAAAAAAAGTAGAAGGTAATTTAATTTATCTCTGTGTGAGCGTCTGAGGAAAGGAAAGTGGAGAAAATGTGCTGATGTTTTAGGGAAGTGTTGCCATGTGGTAACATGATCAGAAAACTCCCAATGGAGCAGTCGAGAATTCCAAGACAGATCAGAATCCCACCATTCTGTACAGGAGAGGATTTTAATTTATAGGAACAAGTGTAGTCTCAGTGTGAGTGACTAGGGTTTAGGCCAATGATGATGAACCTATGGTACTCGTGCTGCAGGGGGCGGTATCATTGAAAACCCTAAAAGGTGCCATCTCTGGTTTAAGCTCGTGTGTTCAGGACTTTGTATTTTCATCCTGTGGGTAGGAGAAGTCTTTCAAGGTTTTGGGGTACAGTAGCTTTGGCTGATACTGTGCAGGTACTCTTTTGTTTTGTTTTGTATGATACTGGTAATTGAACACAGGGCCTTCACACTGAGCTACATCCCCAGCCTTTTTTTTCTCTCTCTTTTTTTTTATTATGGACAGAATCTCACTAAGTTGCCTAAAGTTGGTCTTCAACTTGCAGTCCCCTTGCATCAGCATACTCAGCTAGACTGCAGGTGCTTTATTGGAAGGAAATGTGGGTAGGTAAGAGATTTGCCTGCAACCTTTGCAACAGTGATGAAAAAAGTAGATAACTTTGAACATTTCAGTTGCGTGTAACCAGTGATTCCCTCAAGCTCAGTGGCCATGTGTGGTGGTGCAGGCCTGTAATCTCAGCACTTGGGAGGCTGAGGCAGGAGGATTGCCCTGAGTTTGAGGCCATCCTGAACTACATAGTGAGACCACCTATGTAAAAAGCCAAAGAAAAAGAGAAGGTAAGAGCTAAGGTTAGAGGTGTAGAGGGATCTCAGAAAGATGAGATAACCCCATAACTTTCTAAAAATTCTGTCACTGTCAGTCTGATGTAGCTTAATAAAGCATGTCTTTGGCCTAGGAATAGAAGTGGCAACTTCTGCTAATAAAAAGCTTTCTTTACTTTTTTTTTTTTTTTTTTTTTTTTTTTTTTGACTGGCGTTCTTTTCTTTTTGTTTGCTTTTCACACACTGTGTAACCCACGCTGGTCTCAAACTCACTATCCTCCTGCCTCAGCCTCCCCAAGTGCTGGGATTACAGGCACGCACCACCCCGCCCAGCTAAAAAGCTTTCTTGAAGGCCAGGGATTTAGCTCAGTGGAAAGTCCTGAGTTTGATCCCCAGTACTGGGGTAGGGGGGCTTTTCTGAAATGGCATTATTCTTCTTTTCTGAAAATTTTGTGAGCAGGAAATATTTGTAGTTGCCAGGAGCAGTTGTAATTGTAGGAACAATGTGAGCTTGTAGGAATGCTCCCAGTAGGTGTGGAAATATTCAGGCAAAGTGTGTTGCCTTGAAAGATGGAGCTAGTCAGTCTAGCTCCTTGTGAAAATAAAGGAGAGTAGATTTGGAAGAAAATGTTGACCCCCTGGCCAAGGAAGGGAAGAACAGCCCATGAATGTGGTACCACAGGCATGGAAGTTGTCAGTGTGGAGCCTTGGAAATTGCACCAAGGCCCTTTTTAGCTACAGCTGAAACTGTAGCAACTTCTACAGTTCTTCAGGTAGCTGGCAGTTCAAACCATCTTTTTGGGCAATAACAAATGAAGAAGAACATTATCCATTATTAATTTGGAGCTGGAGAATGTTTTGTGTTTTCCTTTTTTAGTCCTCTCTTTGTGACGTGGAAGACAGGGCGGGACAAGCGGCTTCGTGGCTGCATTGGGACCTTCTCAGCCATGAATCTTCATTCAGGACTCAGGGAATACACGTTAACCAGGTAATGACCCTTGATGTTAAGAACTGTATGTACCTGAACTGGCTAGACGTGGAATACCTGCCTGACCTCATTTCTTCTAAGTGGTACAGTCAGAGCATTCCCTTTGTGATAATGAGGAAATGTGAGCACTTAGTCTGGTGAGTCACTTATCAGTGCTCATCCGGACAGTTAATAGAATCACTGTTGGTGTCATGTGGTGTTGGTGGTTGACAGATGCTTTTTTGTGTATCTCAGGATTCAGAGCTACACAGGCTCTCTCTGTGGCATGGGATGTTGGCTCCTGACGCTGGAGCAGCCTCATTTATGTTTTCTGTCCCCCTCCAGTGCACTTAAGGACAGCCGATTTCCCCCCCTGACCAGAGAGGAGCTGCCTAAACTTTTCTGCTCTGTCTCCCTCCTTACTAATTTTGAGGATGCCAGTGATTACCTGGACTGGGAGGTGAGAGCAGCTGCATTTGGACTCTGCGTCTCGTTGCGTTTGGGTTCGGGTTAGTACATGGCAATGTGTCTCCTCACTGAGAGAGGGCCTGAGGTGTGGGAACTGGGTATCATTGTGGGCAAGACAGGTGACAGAAGGTACTGGCCTATTAGGAGGAGGTTTGTTCCCCAGTTCTATATCTAATAAGAAATAATGAAATGACGCAAAATATTACAGATCCCTCTTGGCAAGCCCTAAAGGACAAGTTTTATTAGGAATCAGATAACAAGAATCATGTACTCTGATAAAAACTTTGTGATAGTTGTATATTTATTTATGAAATAGGTTAAAGGTTAAATAGTCAAAATTATTGAGTAAGCTACTTAAACATCTATTTCTACAACCTTAATATTCTCAGGAAGCTAACTACATATACTCAACCTTTGCCCTTTATCTCTGAAAGTCATGGAAAGGAAGAAGTTCTGCTCTTCTCAGACATGGGTCAAGCTGGTCAGGGATGATTTGTATGTTGGTGGCTGCAGTTCTGCTAGAATAAGTTAATGCCATTTATTTGTTGTGTCTTTCTGTAGGTAGGAGTCCATGGGATTCGAATTGAATTTATCAATGAAAAAGGCGTCAAACGCACAGCCACGTATTTACCTGAGGTTGCTAAGGAACAAGGTGAGTTGGACATTTAGAGAAAGTACCGTTCATAGCCATGCCATTTGCCATTTAAAGGGCTCAGAAGTAAAATATGTCATCTTTCAGCTGAGCTACTACTAAAAATGCTTTTCCCCCCTTAGGACTTTTTTTTAAAGACAGGGTCTCATGTAGTAAATGTACAGCAGTCCTCATTCCTCAGCTTCCTGGGTAAGGGATTAGAAGCACCATATCCAGCATTAATACTAAATGATGACAGCACCAGGACAACTCTCAAGAAGACCCAGGAGCTGGAAAAAAAGAAAGAAAAAATACTTCCTTTGCTTTCCCATTTGTAATAGCTTTCTTTCTTGCCCCCTTATGCTACAGCAAAATTCCAACCATCATTGTAGAGTTCGTTATAAAGAGAAGTTGCTTTTATCGGTGGGTATTGAACTTCTGATCATGAATCATTAAATGTATTGCACTTGGCAAAGGTCAAAACGTACTCCCCCGTGTTTAAATGTGTTTAATGAGTTCGTATATTGGGGACGTTAGAGAGAGGAAGTGGGTCAGACAGCTTTTCTCTAAAAGAATATCCAGAAGAATACCTTTAAATGTTTCTTGTGTTTCTGTGATATGTAGCCCAGTTTTCTTTCTTTCTGTAATTAGTCTGTTCTTGAAAATAGTATGTGAAACAATATTGATTGGATGTGAACCTGGAAAGAGAAAAATACCTCATTAAGTCTGTTAATGAACGAATTTCGTGGAAAGTGATGGCCTTGTTAGTTTCCATGGTGGTTGTGATTCAACTGTGTTAAAAGTATTGAGGATTTGTCATAAAAAAGAAGCTTTGCCAGACATGGTGGCACATACCAGTAGTCTCAATATTCTAGGAGGGTGAAGCAGTAAGACCACAGGTTTAAGTCTCCTATGGGCAATTTAGCAAGGCCTTGTCTCAAAAAAATAAAAAGGAGCCGGGTGTGGTGGTGCACGCCTATAATTCAGCACTGAGGCAGAAAGATCACTGTGAGCTCGAGACCAGCCTGGGCTACATAGTGAGTTCCAAGTCAGTCTCAATTACATAGTGAGACCCCGTCTGAAAAAGAGAAAAATAAATAAATAAATAATAAAAGGTGTAGAAATGTAGCTCAGTTCCCAGGATAGCAAAAAGTGGGGTGTGGGAGCAGGATTGAACAGTAGGTGTGTGAACATTTCCATCCTTCCTAAGGGAACATTTTCCTTCCTGCTGTCAGTTCTGTGTCATAGAAAACAATTCATAGAGATCATCAAACAAAAGAGGCCACTTAAAAGCGTCTAAGTGACAGAATTTGAATCTCCCTCTTTCCTAGCTGGGCACATTTGTGTGTGCTTGTAGTCCTGGCTAGTAATCCTGGCTACTTGGAGGCTGAGACTGGCAGAATAAGTAAGCAAACAAGCAAACAGTCAATGTCTCTTTTCATAGAGCAGCCCCTGGGTATCAGCTCAAGCAATAAGCTGGTCTAACTGGGGACCGTGTTTGCCCTTTGCTAATTACACACTGGGTAATTCCTTATAGGAAAGACGTGGGAGCAGGGAGCCCCGGGACACTGGTACATGCTGGTCTGTCCTCTCTCGTTTCTCTGAGTTTCCACTGGGCCGTCAGTGAGGCATAATGGGGCTCCAGGTGTGTGAGTTGGCACCTGGGCCTTCCTTTGTCCCCGCAGACTCAGCCGTTTCTTGAGTCCCGTCTGTGCTGACCTAGTGTGGCTTCTCTTCTTCTCAGACTGGGATCAGATCCAGACAATAGACTCCTTACTCAGGAAAGGTGGCTTTAAGGCTCCAATTACCAGTGAATTCAGAAAAACGATCAAACTCACCAGGTAAGTCGCTATCTTGTTTTCCTTGTTATTTTCATTTAGTGGGGGTTGGATAGAGAATACTTTTGATGGGAAGGGGAAGGAAAAAGTTTTCTCAGCTAATGTCCCTAAGCCAAAGAAATATAGGTAAGGTTTAAGTTCTGAGGAAGCAGCATGAACAAAGCCAGACTTCCCCAGCATCCTGTGCCTTTCCACAGCTAGGTTGATAGTGGGGTTGGAGCAGGGTTTGGGTCTGCTGAGAGTCAATCAAGGCTGTCTTGCCAGCTCCATGTGTTTGGGAGACTGGGGGCTGAAGTCCGAAGAAGGCTCCCAGTATCAAATTCCAGGGCCAGTAAGGCATTACTTCCTGACTACACGTTTAGTCAGGTGCAGGAGAGTTAGAGGTGCTTCTTACAGAAAGTTAAAAGGATATGCCTCCCCTCTTTGGATACCATGTTTCTTTGGGGAGACTGTCTTAGAATGCACACAGGCTTGGGGGTCTGAATCCCAGCTCCCTGACTAGCTGTGTTACCTGATCTAGTTATTTCACCTCGCTGAGCCTGTTTCCTGTCTGTAAGCTGTGAGTGATAATTCCTTAGGGTTGTTGTAGATTGTGATAAGGTAGTGTGTGGAAAATTTCTATTCCAGGGCCAGGCAACATTGTAGGTGATCAGTAAATGTTAGTTCTCTTCCTGTCCCTACTGAAGGTGGAAGCACTGAGATGTTTAGCTTCTGTGTGGGCCTCTGTTGGGCCCCTCATCTGTAAAATGCTGAATAATCTAATAATAGCCTTACAGGTCTGTTTGGAAGACAACCCAGTGTTTTTGAAACGCTTTGGATTCCAAAAATTGAGGGGCTGGGGGGTGTAGCTCAGTGGTAGAGCGCATGCTTAGCATGCACAAGGCCCTGGGTTCAATCCCCAGCACCAAAAAAAAAAAAAAAAAAAAAAAAAAAAAAAAAAAAAAAAAAAAAAAAAAAAAAAAAAAAAAAAACCACTCTTCAAATACAAAGCATTATTATTATTACTATTATTATTACAATTTATTTGAACAGCCATTTCCCTGTCAAAATTCAGGAATAATCACCTTGCAGTGGAGGAGTGATTACAGTGGGAAAGAGATGGCTCTGGGTAAGGATTGTCACACCCAGCTCCTGTGGTCTGTAGTAGGCTCCATAGGTTTGTAACACCCCATGCTTCGCATCCTGACTCATGGCTCTTTCCAGAGCAAAGCCAAAGTGCTATGAATTCTGTTCTGATGACCCTGTGATATGGCATATTCATCTGGGGATTGAGACCTGTCCTATATAACCCAAAGATCCTTTGACCTGCTTCATCAGAATTTGACCCAGAATTAGGTATCTGTGCCCCTTTTAGTTATGATAACTTGTTCATTGCTCTTCTGCAAATTGAAGTTGCATTTCCGTCAAATTTACCTCATTTTAACCTGAAAGTGGATGTGCAGTTTACACTGGGTTTTGGTGGAGCCATCTTCTAATCTGCCACCCATGTAATTTGACCTTGAAAGTTTCATCCAGACCCCAGTAGCAGATTGCTTATAAGCAGCCTGATGATAAGCATATGTAGCGTTTAAAGGTGGGATGTGCTGAGTACATTCTCAGGGGTGAACTGTGATTGTGCTTTTTCATCTTGTTCATTTGTAATAACAACATTGTTTTCTTGTGCCGTCTTTCATTTTCTGTAAGTAAGATTGCTCTTGGTCTTCCATTTTATTCTTTCAAAATGTGGAATAAGCTTTTGGTTTTCTCTGCTGAGTGACTTCACAACATGAAGTGTTTGGGTTCCTAATACCCTTGCCTGTTTCCTTATACAGGTACCGAAGTGAGAAGGTGACAATCAGTTATGCAGAGTATATTGCTTCTCGACAGCACTGTTTCCAGAATGGCACTCTTCATGCCCCGCCCCTCTACAATCATTACTCCTGACACAAGGCTGCATGACCAGTCCCACCCCCCCGTGGCCACCAATGGCTATGACATCATTGGAGCAGATGCCTCCTCTTCCTGGTCCAGTTACTTCTATTACTGCACCATTTTATGATGCTAGCTTCCGTTGCCAAGTCTGCCTCCCACTGACTGAGAGGGTGTGGGGTTACACTGAATGAAACAGAACTTGAGGGGCCCAAGCCTTATCTCAGCCTTTCCTCAGTATGGGGTTCCATTGGATTGGGGCTTCTCCATGACTAGTGAGAATCGCTGTGTGGGTGCTGAAGACCCTGGTCTGGTGATTTGCCACGTGTGTTGGCCACACACTGGAATTAGAGTTGATGATCCATGGAGGTTTTCCCCACACACACTCAGCCTCCCGGATCAAATAGGTGTTCCCCTGGCAGTCTGGGCAACGGAGACCAACAAGAAACATTTTTAGGTTGTTTTAAATCCCTTTTTTTAAACTTCCAGTTTATTGCATACCAAGAGTTGATCACAATCTCCGTGCTTCGTAAGTGGACGCCATGTTAGGGCTGAGGGTGGGCACCATGAGTTCTTTGAGGCTCTTGGCCAGAGACCCACATCAAGACCGGAAGCCCTTCAGATGGCGTTGCAGATCTCATTGCTCAATAAGCCACGAAGGTTTAACATTCTCACCCCACTCTCAGTTGGATCGTCTGGCACTCTTCCTGCATCAAGTCTCCTTGTATGACACGGAGCTCTGTAGTGTGGCCTGCTGAGGAATGGAGTGGAGATGCCCATGGGAGGTCCTGTTGTCATCGCTGTGTGCGGTGTGAAAGGAGAGACCTCTTCCTCACCACCTGGCTACCTCACTCCTACTGGTAGCAGTGCCTATATAGCTGGGTCTGGGTTCTCAGAAGCACAGGTGTGCACACGGGGCGTCTGGGTTGGGCTCGTTGTCATTGAGAATCCAGGGTCTCTTAAGCTGGTTTTCTTTTCAGGCAAACATCGTGAGGGACCGTTCAGCGTGCAAGTTCATTTTTTTCCGTTTGCCTGAAGTAGGAAGACTGTTGACGTTTCTGTCCCTTTATAAGACTCTAGAGCAAAGCTGTGTAATGAAACAAGGTGAATCTTATCTTGCCTACTGTGCTGGGAGTTTTAACCCCACCATGGCATATTTCCAAATTGTTCATTTTTTTTCTGGATTTAAACTTTCGTGTGACCTTTCCCTTCTCGTTTGCTGATTTCCAAATAGCTATCAGTTTTTCTCTCTTGCCTCTTCACTCATGTGGTGGCAAAGATCATAGAACTCTAGGGGATTTGGCAGAGGCTTTGAAAGCACTCTCACAGGCACTACTAGAGTGACTCACAGGAAGAGGTGGTGAGGATCCTGAGGACAACACACTGGTTTTCCACAATATGCTTAGAGAACTCGAAGTGGATCAGGTGTCAACCCAGTGAACATGTATATTGATTTAATTTATTTTTTAGTTTATGTATTGATGATGTGGCTTTCCAAAATGGGCATATGTTCAAATTTAAAGATCTTTTGAGCTTTCTTCTTCCAGGAAGTGAGGAGGTGGAGTGGGACACAATCTAAAAAGACGTTGCCCTCTAGTTTCTGGGAAGGAATCAGTCAGGGGAAGGACCTGGGGTACATGGGAAGACTTGTGTGACATCGGGGTGCCAGGCTGTGTCTCCCTTATTGCTGAACTGGGTTGCCATGGCCTGCCATGGTCCCCTTGCAGTGCAGATGAAGGTGAAGAGGTTGTCTCATGATGTCCTGCTGCTGAGGATAATGTCCTGTTACGGATGTGACAACAGATACTCTTAGGTGCCATGGATTGATGTCCGGGTGGTCAGCTCTGGACTAAGCCACCCACCTCTAATTTGTACAACAGTATTGATACATAGGGCTACACTCATTACTGTTTAAGTGTTCTATGTTGGAAGTTGTGTTTGATTTATAAAGATTTAAAAAAGCAAAAAAAATGGTGCTAAATTTTCACCCCTGAGCACGCTCAGTGAGACTGGTCATGCAAGCATTTACAGTGCCATGTTTCTCGAGCCTATTTTTCTTGTAGAAATGTTGCCCTATTTGTCTTCCCCAATGTATAGTATGTATTTTATTTTATTTTATTGAGGGTGGGGTAGCGTACCTGCCATTTGAGAAAATAAATAAAAAAATAAAACCCCCAAAATGGGGGGGGAAATCAGTGCACAAGAATAGGGCTGGTGAAGCCCAGCATCACACTGAAGTAGGCTCAGTGGTTTTGGACTGAAGAAGCCTTATATTATACTCCCTGCACATTCCCTCGTGCTCCCAGCAAGTCCGGCAGTGGAGACGCATGAGCTCCTCTTGCTTTGTCAAGGGGGTTCAGAAGTCAGCCAAGGGAAACTACACAGGCCCTGTCAAAGAGTCCATCCTGACCAGGGCATAGTCAGGAAGCAGTCTGGAAGTATGTGGTCATGGTGGCCTCGTGGAAACATGGGGCAGGTGGCTCAGGAAAAATACCGAGTCTGGGTCATCTATGTGGCAGCTTTGCATAGGGGGGGTGACTGACAGCTCTGAGCTGGAGCAGATCTGCCTTCCACTTGCTTGACCAAAGCAGTAATAAGGGTGGCCGGTACATGTGAACAAGCGGGAGGTAGAGAGACGGTGCTTCCTGCCCATTGTTTCCTCTGTCTTTGGGGGCCACTGAATAGTAGGTAACCACTGTTAGAAGGAACCAGCCCAACTTCCTGGCTTGGTTCGGAGTTTGTTTCATCCCTAGCTGTGAGTGCCTTTTGGTCTGGAAAGTTGGCTTGTCTCATTAATACCCACAGCTAGGACATTTTTCCTGTAATTATGAATTGTCCTTGTTTTACTTCAACTAAAAGAGAGTGTCTTTGATCACTAGAGTTTGTCAGTGTTGGATTGTTTCCACTGTGAGGTTCTTAAACTTTTTTCTTCATAATATTGAAACAATTCATGTTAGATACCCTTTCCACATGAAAGGTTTGTAGTTAAGATGTTATATTTTACGGTTTATAATAAAAACCATCTATACAAAAGAAGTTCTGCGTGTTAATTTTAATATTTTGCACAAGATCTGTTTTCCATGATATGTTAACATCTGCAATTACACTAACTGTTGATGTTTTTTTCTATCGAGATTTCTGGAGCCTGGGCATCTATTTGTTTTTTATTATTTTTGTTCTTATTTCCCTGAAGCAAGAGACTGTATGGCCTTCAGTGCAAAGATTTCAGACCACTTCTTTGTATTACACTTGGTTGCCTCTTGGCTATATAACTTCTGAGTGCAAATCATTGATTGAACTCTTTAATGAAGTATTGTAGAGAATAAATCATAATGGGTAAATATTGTTTGTCTGCTTTTTTCTGTTTTTCTTGTAATCATGTGACTTGAAGTATAAGGAATAGCAGTTATGGTCATTAATTTTTGGAGAAAGCCAAAGTTTTGGAGGTAGTAAGTCAGCCTGCGTATTTTTTATTGTGCTCATGATCCTTTATATTAAACTGATAAGAACAAATACTACTTAGCCAAAGGCCTGAGAAGTGATCATGATTCTTTATAAATGGGCTCTTTGTTGTTTTGGTGGCAATACCATTTTTTTTTTTTTAAGAGCTAAATTTCCTGAGCTGTCACTCATAAACAAACTTTCCAGAAAGGTTCATTGTTTTCATTACATTTACAGATTAAACTGGCCTTGTCAGAAAAAGCTAAACAAAAATTTTTTTTTTTTTGTTCAGTACAAGGGACTGAACTTGGGACCTTGTATTTGCAAGGCAGGCAGCAAAACCCGGCCCAAAGCTAAGAACTCTTCAAGGAAAAACCCAAGATAATCTTTGGTGATACTGATTCAAGAGAAACCTGGGACATAGCATAGTGCAAAGTTTACTGTTTTGGGACCACCTAAAAATAACGCACCAGAGTTTGAAGAAAATGGCAAAACTCAAAACAGCCTGGGAGGTGTATCTGTCAGGATTAGATAATTTTAAGCAGCTAGCTAAACCTTTTTTTCTTAGCTGGTTAAACATTTATTGAATGCTACTGTGTGTGAAGAATTCAGTGGTGGCACACGTGGGAGACTGAAGTAAGGAGGATCACCAGAAATTTGAGGCCACCCTGGGCTACAAAGTGAGTTTAAGGCCAGCCTGAATTATGGTGAGTCCCTGACTAAAAACAAAAAAGAATTCAGGTGTGTGGCGGAGGGCTGGGGTCCCAAAGGCCTTGTGTGTGTTTGGCAAGCACTACCCTCAGTCTGAGGTTACATTCCTTTCTATTGTAGTGCCTATGATTTCCCAACATTGACATGGGGGAGAGTCAGGGATGGTAAAAATAACATCTGCCATTTTACCTCTCCTTGTTATTGAAAGCAGATTCTCACAATGTAGTCTAGGCTAGTATTGAACTCAACTATGTAGCCCAAGCTGTCCTTGAAGTTGAAGTGACCCACCTGCCTCGGCCTTCAAAGTCCTGGCACTACAGGTGTTTGTCACCATGCCCATTATTTTTATTTATTTTTGAGACAGGGTCTCACTATGTAGTTGAGACTGCCCTGGAACTCGCTATGTAGCCCAGGCTGGTCTTGAACTCACAGTGATCCTTCTGCTTCGGCCTCCCAAGTGCTGGGATTCCAGGCATACGCCACCACGCCCGGCTCCATGCCCTTTAAAGTCTGAAATGTGAAGCCATCTGGCCAGTCACTGGAGCTGATTCTCGCAGGAGTGGAGGTAGGGAGGTGCTCTTAAAGACTCCAGAGCCGGGCGTGCTGTGGTGGCGAGATGGCTGCAGTTGTCTGAGACTTGGCCCAGCCCCGTGGAGATGCAGCACCGTGGGACACACTCCGGCCTGTGTGAGGTGGGAGTGAGGAGGGCTTCTCAGAGGCAGGAGGAGCACTCAGAAAGTCCTGCTGCCACAGGCCAGGGACACACGTCAGGCCCAGGGTTCTATATCTAGTACCACAAAACAGAACTCCAGAATTATCAGGACAGTGTCGTTTAGAGGTTTTCCGATCTCGATGTCAAAGGGTTCTTTGTGAAATCACACAAAACTCCCAGACACAGACTCCACCCCTTTGCACCCTACAAACTTTTTTTTGTTTTGTTTTTTTGGTACGGGGAATTGAACTCAGGTCTTATGCGCAGGCGCCGGAACCACTGAGCTAAATCCCCAGCCCCCTACAAACTCTTAATAACCAAAGGGTAAGGGTTGCATGTAAGTGACACAGTCTGGTTTTTTTTCCCCCCACTCTGGTTATTTCTTTGGCTTCCTTTGTAACATTTGCCAGATTTCCAGCAACAAGTGCCAAATATTTTTCAGAAATTTGTGAGAGAATACCTTAAACCAGTGGTGATGAACCTACGGCATGTGTGCTGCGGTGAGCTGTTTCTATCACTGAAAGCTCTGAAAGGTTCACCATTACTGCCTTAAACTGGAAAAATCTGTGTATCATCTAAGTCCTACGTGGATAACTGGGAAATACATCTTTCTGTTTTACAGGCAGAAGCCATCTCTGTCTAGGTAGAAACTGAGTGGTTCAGCCTGCGAGGATTCTTTGAGAAGCCAGGTGTGGTGGCACCCTCCTGTAATCCCGGCGTACGAGGCTGAGGAGGAAGGATTGTTGTTAAGTTTGGGGCCAGTGTGAACCACGTAAACCCTGTCTCAAAAAATGATCCTTCTGCTTCGGCCTCCCAAGTGCTGGGATTCCAGGCATACGCCACCACGCCCGGCTCCATGCCCTTTAAAGTCTGAAATGTGAAGCCATCTGGCCAGTCACTGGAGCTGATTCTCGCAGGAGTGGAGGTAGGGAGGTGCTCTTAAAGACTCCAGAGCCGGGCGTGCTGTGGTGGCGAGATGGCTGCAGTTGTCTGAGACTTGGCCCAGCCCCGTGGAGATGCAGCACCGTGGGACACACTCCGGCCTGTGTGAGGTGGGAGTGAGGAGGGCTTCTCAGAGGCAGGAGGAGCACTCAGAAAGTCCTGCTGCCACAGGCCAGGGACACACGTCAGGCCCAGGGTTCTATATCTAGTACCACAAAACAGAACTCCAGAATTATCAGGACAGTGTCGTTTAGAGGTTTTCCGATCTCGATGTCAAAGGGTTCTTTGTGAAATCACACAAAACTCCCAGACACAGACTCCACCCCTTTGCACCCTACAAACTTTTTTTTGTTTTGTTTTTTTGGTACGGGGAATTGAACTCAGGTCTTATGCGCAGGCGCCGGAACCACTGAGCTAAATCCCCAGCCCCCTACAAACTCTTAATAACCAAAGGGTAAGGGTTGCATGTAAGTGACACAGTCTGGTTTTTTTTCCCCCCACTCTGGTTATTTCTTTGGCTTCCTTTGTAACATTTGCCAGATTTCCAGCAACAAGTGCCAAATATTTTTCAGAAATTTGTGAGAGAATACCTTAAACCAGTGGTGATGAACCTACGGCATGTGTGCTGCGGTGAGCTGTTTCTATCACTGAAAGCTCTGAAAGGTTCACCATTACTGCCTTAAACTGGAAAAATCTGTGTATCATCTAAGTCCTACGTGGATAACTGGGAAATACATCTTTCTGTTTTACAGGCAGAAGCCATCTCTGTCTAGGTAGAAACTGAGTGGTTCAGCCTGCGAGGATTCTTTGAGAAGCCAGGTGTGGTGGCACCCTCCTGTAATCCCGGCGTACGAGGCTGAGGAGGAAGGATTGTTGTTAAGTTTGGGGCCAGTGTGAACCACGTAAACCCTGTCTCAAAAAAAAAAAAAAAAAAAAAATCCATGTAACAGGCTTGATTGCCAGCTGATAGGCTTTGAAAAGATGATTGTATCATGAGGATTCTAATTTCAGTGGATTAATTCACTGATGGATCCATAACTTCATGGCGTTATTGGTCAGTAATGGAAACCTAGAAGGCGGGACCTAGTTGAAGCGGGAGGTGCGACCTTGGGACTGAATCTTGTTCCCTAGCCCCTTCTTCTTTGGCTCGCTCTCTGCTTCCTGGCTGCCCTTAGGTAAGCAGTTTTCTTTTACTTTTTGTTTCTGAGACAGGGTCTTGCTATATAGTTCAGGTTGGTCTTGGATTCACAACAGTCCTCCTGCCTCCCCTTCCCAAGTGCTGGAACTGCAGGTGTGCACCACCATACCCAGCTAGTTTTGTTGTTTGAGATGCTGGAGTTCAAATCCAGGGCATCATGGATACGAGGCAAGTGCTGTACCTCAGCTGCAACCACAGCCAGTCCACAGCATTTTCATCGAGAAAGTTGTTATAAATGCTATGTCCAAGGTCCTGGGTTAAAAATGATGAACGAGGTATAGTCTATACCCAAAAGGAGTTCACAGCAGCAGCTGATACAAGAACTGGCAAATGATATGAGGGAAATACCAAGAAAGATAAGGTGCTATGATTTGGATCTGGTCTAAGTGTATTTCCCAAAGGTTCACATGGGAGCTTTAAGCGGTGAGGCCTAGGGAGATGTCATATTAGTCTGCTTTCTGTCGCAGGGACAAAATACCTGATGATGATAACTTACAAGGGGAGAGGTTTGGGCTGGGGATTTGGCTCAGTGGTTCTAGCACCTGCCTTGCAAGCACAAAGACCCAAATTCTATCCCCTGTACCAAAAAAAAAAAAAAAAAAAAGGAGAGGTTTATCTTGGCTCATGGTTTCAGAGGTTTCAGTCAGTGGTTGGCCAGCTCCATTGCTGTTATGCCCATGGGGAGACAGAAAATGGCGGAAAGCAATGGCCTGGCAGAGGAAAACAAGATCCTGTCTCCAAAAAAAGAGGGGAAAAGAAAAATACTGTGGACAAACCAACCTGTGAAACATTATTCTAAGCTAATAAAGCTTATTATTCTAATAAGCTTTATTGTTACTTTTCTTTCTTCTCTCTGTACCTTTTGACTCTTCTGAAGTGTTGGGTAGCAAACTAGTCCTTGGGCCAGCACAGTACAAGGTCCAGAGAATGGTGCCTGCTATGGAAAGGCCCGTGGGACCAATACAGGAAGGACGAATTCCACACTGAATTCCAGGCCCACTTTTATTTATTATCTATTCATTTAGGTTTTTTTGAGATTAGGGTCTCACTTTATAGGCTGGCCTTAAAACCCCAGCTCCAGGCCACTTCTGTCCCCCAGCCACAGTGTAACCATGGACTAGTCCCCAGGACATCCCTCAGGAAATCACTTGAAACAGTAACAGGCTCTGCCAGTACTTTATAATCTGTAATTTAACCCAGTAAATTCCTCTAGGAATGCAGACAGTGAACAAGCAGTTTGTATTTACAGGTTGGGGATGTACCTCAGCAGCAGAGTAGTAACTGGTTACACAAGGCCCTGGGTTCTATCTTCAGCACAACCCCCTCCACCAAAAAAAAGTCTGGCATGGTGAGGCAGGCCTATAATCCCAACATACAGGAGGCTGAGGCAGGATTGGAAGTACCAGGACAGCCTGAGCTACATAGTGAGTTCAAGACTAGCCTGAACTACATAGGGAGACCCTGCCTCAAAAAAACAAAAGAAAGAATAAGACTTACTAGCCAGGCATGGTGGTGCACGCCTGTAATCCCAGCACTCGGGAGGCTGAAGCAGGAGGATTGCTGCGAGTTCGAGACCAGCCAGGGCTACACAGTAAGTTCCAGAGCAGCCTGAACTACAAAGTGAGACCCTGTCTCAAAAACCCCCCAAAAGCCGGGCATGGTAGCGCATGCCTATAATCCCAGCACTCGGGAGGCTGAGGCAGGAGGATCACTGTGAGTTCAAGGCCAGCCTGGGCTACATAGTGAGTTGTAGGTGAGTCTCAACTACATAGTGAGACCCTGTCTCAAAAAAAAAAAAAAAAAACAAAAACCCTGTTCTTGTCTAATATATGAAGGTTTTTTTGGTTCCGGGGATCGTAATGTATCAATTTTTAAAATTAAATTAGCAGAGTTTACATTATTACTAAGTACTGTGGGCTAAGGTGCCAAGCAGTAGGCTTTCTTTTCTTACTTGTTAAATCTTTTTTCTCAAGTTGAAAACAGTTATTATTTTTCATTTGCTTCATTTTCTACTTAGCCTCCAAATAGTCCACACTCGTAATAAAAGCCTCTCCTTGTTTACTCCTGCCACCTACCCAGCTCTCCATCAAGGCCACTTCTGGGTTCACTGGGCGCGCTCCTCACATCACCATATCCCGCCCTCTTCCTAGAAGGGCCTCGGGACCAGGCCGAGACGTCTCACTTGTTTTCTCCGGGGTCGGCGAGGGCACAAAGCCTCAGCTACTCGGAACCCCTCCCTCCGGGCGCGGGGGCGGAGTCCAGCCTTGGCCCCTCCTGCCAGTTCCACAGCGGCC